TACAATTCTAGCAACAGACTTTTACTCCATTCGTACATGAACCATGTTCTGAGATAACCTGGAACCAAACTTGCACACAGGTTCCGAAACAGGGGAAAAAATTTTGCACCCAGTTTTACCGCAAAACCACTTTTTTCGGTATTTAAAAAAAAACTCCTGGACCCCTTCAGAAATCTTTAGTCCCATTTTGGTATCGGTTCCAACCATCTGCGTCTTAATCCTACTGGATTATCCAAGAACACCGGATTTCGGGTGATACCGTAAGTGACGCTAAAGGGAGGGCGAAGGAGGGGGCGGGGAAACACGACACGGCGGGAAATACCTCTGCCCTCATGCCAATTGTCAGGAGGGGCCTTTCAATGGCCGTAAATTATGATTCACCTTGGTTTCGCGCAGTTAAATATGAGATTTTTTCGCGTAGGAAAATTTGCTCAGTTTCACGTACTTAAATCTGTACAGTTAACCCGACCTTAGGTTTAAATTTTTGGGCCCTGGCCGCGCCACATTTTGTTTGCCCACCTTCAAAATTACGGCTCGGCCTTCTAATGGCAGTAAATTACACTTATTTCAAATTCGCCAGTGAGACAACCAATCCCTCTACGATTAATTTCGTTGGTAAACTGATCCTAGTGCAAACCATGTGAAGAAAAATCGCTGCTTCTTTGAAATAATAGACCAGAAGGATTGTACTCAAGCGTCATGTGTAAAGTGATATTTTGATCCGGTGCAAACTGTCTTTCATCCCCTTTAGATGTAGTAGTAAGGTGATACTTTACGATGCAGTCTGCCTGTTTCATCCCTTAGCTGTAAACAAAAAGACCGGACTATGTATGCGAGTAGGAGTGGGAATCGTTAGAAACTTTCGAAAGAGGCAGTCTTTCATCCCCTTTAAATGTAGTAGGAAGGTGATATTTTACGATGCAGTCTGTCTGTGTGTTTCTTCCCTTATTGTCCAGCAACGAATGGTTGCTGCTGGCATGGCACTCGGGCTATTTCTGGGTACCTTTTATAGTGAATAACTTGGAATGAAGAAAATTTTGTACTGTGTGGTTGACCTGAAAATAATAACGCTACCCTCACAATGAGAAAGATAACACCGCGAACCATGCGCTGCGCCGGCCAACTGACGAAATATCTTCGGTGAAACGGTGTAGGTCTTCCATCGTAGCATGTACTGCACAACACCGGCCAGTACAAGCCCGAGGACCACGTAGCGAATTAGACGAGTGAAGAAAAAAGCCATTTTACTTGCGACGACGACGACTGATCCGGATAAACAACACACACAACTCACAGAGAGAAACAGTAACCTGAAATTTAGTAAAACAATAAGTTAGTTAAGTGAAAAAATAATGCAAAAAATTGCACGAAACATTCGTTACTCGTCGCTGTTTATTACTAATTGATATTGGGAAAGATTTCGGAGACACCTACATATAGAGTTATGGGGGGAAGAGGAAGAGGA